GAAAAATGTAAGGGGAGGAACGCTAGAAAAGGGCGTTATGCTTGGAAGATAGGAAATACCCTCAATAAGTGGAGTTGACCAAGTGACTGTAACAATGGGATCGAGAGTGACGGAGATGAGAACAGCACAGGATAGGCAGGGTTCCGATCCACTGTTCATAGGACCACTGAGTTGTAGTTGACACAGCAGCATCTAATACCAACTTTCAGTAAGCCAATCATTGCCATCGAGCCAGAACTGACTCATAACTAACCCTCTGGAAGATTGTCAGAGGCTGTAAATGGTACAGGAAGAAAATGCCCATCATTCTCCCTCAGAGCAAGTGATGGATTTGAACTTGTTAGCCTTTGGTTTGGTGGCACAACTCCTTACACACTAGACCACGAGAGTTCCCTATTCTAACCTTACAAAGGAGGAGCCCAATTCTATGGGGTTTTTTCCCTTCACTAGCTAACCGTATCCGCTTCCGAAATGGCTTGCCTCTGGAAACTCTATGTACGAACAATGCTCAGGCCTTTTGTTCAAAAGGTGGCTATGAGTCATATACGACTTGACAGCACCTAACAACAACAGCTAACCTTAGGCTAAACAGCAAGGTTATCAGATTAAATTTAAGGTGTACTTGATCTAAGCCATGGTATTTTTAATTGCTTTCTATGCATGTGAAAGTAGGACAAAGAATAAGGAAGACCCCAAAATTGAGATACAGTGTTGTTGACAAATATTGACTATAGTGTGGACTGTCAAAAGAACAAACAAATCTTTCCTGGAAGAAGTACAACCAGAGTGCTCCTTAGAGGCAAGGATGATGAAACTGTATCTCACAAGCTTTGACAACTTCTGTTGTGAGAAGGAAGAGTCCTTGGGAAAAAAAGACGTCATGCTGGGAAAGGTGGAGGGTCAGAGAAAAAGAAGAGCCTCAACAAGATGGACTGACTGTGACAGTGGGCTGAAAACGGATAGAGATTGTGAGGATGGTGCAAGTTAGGACAGGGTTCAGATCTGTGGGTCACAGGGTCACAATGTGTCAGATACCTCACTGGCAACAATAGCCAGCCACCTTAAGTTTCTCCTCTTGGCTTCAATTTTTTTTTTCCAAAATGTGATGACAATGTTCTGAAGTGAGACTGGAAGAGGCTGTCATGGCAAACTCAAGGTGAGTTAAGCAGCTGCGTCCAGAGGCAGGTGCTCAGGGCCCATGCACAGCAGTGGAGGGAGGGCTGCAGGCAGGGCACCTCCTGTTCTTAGGAAGCTGGTTGCCCCAGGCAGCCAGAGCTGAGGCCAGGGGACTGGGACTCAGCCCACAGTCCTGACCCCTGAGAAATTCTGGCTGTTGAGAGTGCCACCCCCAACCTTACACCTGCCCGGGTCACTCAGTACCTCCAACTCCTCATATCACTTTTTTGGAGCCTCCTAGGCACAGCAGGTGCACAGATGGGCAAAATGTGATCTAGAGGGACACAGGTGTGCCCAAGGCTGGCCAGTTGTGGGGCCTGGGACAGAAGGAGTCAGAGTTTTAAGGGAGTGGAGTGGTGGGAAATCTGGATATAGGATGGGATAGCAGCTATGATTTACTCAACACTAGCTAAGCACGTCACATAATTCAGTGTCCATTTCTCACAATCCCATGAAGGCTAGAAATTTGCCTCACTTCTTTTGCTCTCACTTCCACCCCTGACAGTGAGCTGCTGGCATCATCCATAGGGACTCATGCTGCTAACTCAAAGGCTAACTCTGCTGGTTCGAATCCACCAGTGACTCTGGGGGAGAAAGATGAGCACCGTCCTGTGTGGTTTACAACCCACTGCAGGGTCATCTATGAGTCAGTTCCAATTCACCGCGAATGAATTTTGAAGCCTACCTTCCATTCAACGTATCAGAATTGTTTCTTCCAAAGGAACTCTGGTGGCCTAGTCTGCAGATCTTATATTCAGCACTGTTAACCCAAAGCCTGTGTCTCTCTCATGGTTTGAGTTCACTAGCACCTTGGAGGGACAGACAGACAATCCCCACCTGTGCAACACACAACCCTGGAAACCTAACAGAGGGTCAGTGAAGAGGTGGTACCAAGTCAATAGCAATGAGTTGGTTTTGAGTTCTTCCAAAATCTACTCCCAACCCTGTTACTGTGCTGTGTTCCCTGTACAAGCTGCCAGCACATTCTCTGACCTCTCTCAGCAACCTCCACTCTGCCCTGCCCACAACATCCATACTCCAACCCACAAACCTGTCTCTTCTTCCCATAGCCTTTTTTTTTAATATGCACAAATATTTTAAAATGCTATTTTTTCTGACTCATCAATACACAACAGCAATTTATATATATAATATATATTATATATAATTATTATAATTATATATATAATATTATATTTAATTATTATAATTATTCTTATAATAACCCTGGCAGCACAGCACAGCAGCCAAAGTCCATGGATGTTAACCAGAATGATGTCAGACTCTTGAACTCACCAGTTGCTTCAAGATAGAAAAGTGTGGCAATATGCTTCTCTAAAGATTTACAGCCTCGGAAACTCAACGCCGAAGTAACACTTTGTCTTAGCTCTGTGTCAGAACTGACTTGATAGTGGCAATTTTGTTTGTTCTTATTTAATATATATAATAATTTTTAGGAAAGAATTACAAAATATGCCATGCCTATTTTTTTTATTCTTACTTTATTCAAGTTATAAACTGTTACTATCTTATATATTTTTATCCTCAAATTGTCTCTGATCTGCCCAGTAAGGGTCTTCTATGCCACTTTCTTTTTTAAAATTTTAATTGATATTTAAACTAAGTTTCTAGAGAACTTCGATTTCCATTCATTCATTATTATACATTTTCTTCCCTACCCACTCTCCCAGTTCACTTTTCTCTTTCACTGTTGCCCTCAGTTTTTCATATGATACCTCTACTGCATCAATCAGATCAGGGTGTGAGCCTTCTAGCCTCACAGGCTGAATTCCCCAGTAGTGCCCACATGAGCCTGCTGATGAGTGTTCGGAGTTGTCTTTACCTCCAGTCTGCTGACGGCCTCATGGCAGGGACTCTGGTGGGTCCCCTGTATCTCTAGTGCGTACATGCAGCCACGCCTGCATAGGGTTACTGAATAAAGGAATGACTGGCCCCGATTACCACAGCTGTGACTTTAAGCCCTCTCTTGTGCATTCCTGTGGTTGGGGACTAGTCACCCAGGCCTGGCTGGAACGAAGTCTCTCCAATAACCCCCTAACCAAGGAACAGACAGACAGGTGAATGTCTGAGATTACAGTAACATTTATTCCAAGAGCAGAACAAGTTGGCATGGGGACTCAGTTGGTCCCTGGACTGAGGGTGCATCAGACTAACAGTGCATTGGCCCCCCAACCACCTCTAGTCCTGGCTTGGATCTCTGTCTATAGCCAGGAGCCAGCCTGGCCCACCCTGAGGGGCATGAAGCCACGGCAAGGCTGAAGAACTGCCTGAGGTGGGGCAGTGACCGGTAGGTAGCCAGGCTGATGCCTACACAACACAGCTCCGGCAGTTGGTCCCAGTGGACACGACTAAGCCAAAGCCCCATGTGGCAGCCCCAGAGGCCTCGGCTGGCTTCCCTGACCTCACCTCTCCATTCCCTCAGCCTCTCTCAGGATGCTTAGTGTAAAACAGGCATTGAGAAGTGATTACATAAATGTGTATATAGTATACATATACATACAGAGATACATAGAGAAAGGAGTAGTGTTTTGCCCTTATTCAGCACTTGTTAGCAAGAGTGCTTGACAAGCAGGAATTGCTGGCCCCACTTGGCAGAAATGGGACATTGAGGCACAGGAGGTTTAAGTGACTTGCTCCTGGTCATCTCCAAGTGCCGGCGCTGGGCGCAGGTTCCCAAGCGAAGCCTTGCCTTTCAAGAAGGAATCTCCTTGTCTTTCAGTCCTGGTCCCTCAAGTGGCCCAGTGTTAGGACACAGGTGCAGGGCTGGGCACAGAGTGAGGTGGCAGTCAGAGAATCTATCTTCTCCAGCCAGGACATCGGACTCAAACAGCAAGATCTAGAAGCGAGAACTCAGGTTTCCAGAAGGAGTTTCTTGAATTAAGTGTACTTTTCCATTTACTTCACATGGCCTGCAGGCCCCAGTCAGCAGAGAGGAGAGCGGAAGCTGGTTACAGATCCAGCAGTCAGTGAGGAGACTCCAGGCACTGTCACCACTAGCCTACAAAAGCCCCAATATGGAACGCCTCTCCCCCACCTCCAGGGCCCCTCTCAGAAGGTGTGATGTCTCCCCAAGTAGAATCAAATATAACCATAGGCCCAGCAGGCAGAAGTTTGAGAAAGAGGGGGAAAACAATTCCAAATTTCTCTAAAAACTAGTTAAAAGAGAGATTTTCCAAACAGAATAGATATAAAACTTTAAGACTAAAAGGAACATTTTGGTCCAGGTAGCAAGAAGGGGCTGTGGCCTCCTTGGCTGTGCTGGGGACAATGTTGGCAGTGGGGCCTCTGGCCACATGATGGATCTGCCTATTTCCTGTCATGTGACCCCAGCAGGACTAAGAAAGCCCTTCTCCCACATCCCACACAAGAGCAGTGATGGCAGAGTCACTGCTGTCACCACCTGTCAAAGGCCTCACCCAGGGACTAGGAATGGAATCAGAATGCGTCTGCAGCTCCTCTGGGTGCCCACCCCAGAGAGGACCTGAGAACAGAGGCATGGTCCTTCCAGAGCCATAGGGCCAAGGGCTGAGCCCACCTGGGGCCTCATGGGCATCACTTAAACATTTGGCAAATCTCTGCTGAATGAATCAATGGATGGCTAAGTGGGCAGGTCTGGAGGACAAAAAGATGTCAATTGCACATTTGCAGAACTCCAGCCTGAGTGTGAGCCCAGCTGGTGGCTGTCCTTTCTAGGTGGCCAGAAACCCAGATATAGGTGACAGAGAAAATGCAAAGGCCTGGGTGACCTGGGGGCAGGGAGGCGGCTGGGAGGGGGCTCAGGGACATAGCAGTTTGTGTGTAAACAAGTGACATCTTGGCACTCCATCAGCAGACAGCAGGACTTGGGAGTGAGAACTTTCAACAGAGAGTCTCTTAGTACAGGTGACAGATGGGGTGGGTAGGGCCACTTTAAATCTCAGCTAAGAGTCCTCCGTGAGAAGGGAGGTTTGGAGCCCTCAGGAGACTGTGGATTGGAGGCCGCCCAGTCACACAGCGAGTCAGAAGAGCTGCGGAAAGAACCCCCAAATCTTGGCTCCCCGGCTAGTTGCTGGCCTGGTGGGGACATGCAGATATGGTGAAAGTTCTGGGACAGGCAGGGGGTGGCATCAGACAGCCGTGAGGGAGGCACTGCTGAGGACGCTCACAGCAATGGTGCCCGGCAGGTCGCTGGGCTGCCGGCTGCTGCGATCCCGGAGGTGGAGGGTGTGCAGGGCCTGGAGGTCGTCGGGGTCAGCCTTCAGGTGCACCTGGCCCAGAAACTCATCCTTCAGCACTCGGTGGTTCCAGACCTGGGAGGAGGAGAGGACTGTGGGTGGGGAAGCCCAGGAGGGCAGGTGGCTGGGCTGTGGATCCACTTCCCACGGAGAAGCTTGGCTGAGGGAAAAGAGCCCTGCATTGCCTGACCCCTGACAAGGCCCTGCCTCTATCCTGTCTCCATCTGTCAGAGCTCTCTTCCATTGTTGTTGCTGTGTACCATCGAGTCAGAACTAACCCACAGCTGAGCCTCCAGTGGGTTTTTAGAGGCAGGTAATCACATGGGAGGAGACTTCCCATCCTTCTGCGGAGCAGATGGTGGCCTTGAACTGCGCGCCTTAGGGATTGCAGCATAGCTTCTTGCCACAAGGTTACCAAATCTGTTATCTATTGGCTTTGCCACCGACCCTGAGTGACTCTGAACAAATGCTATGCTCTATGTCTAATGCTTCTATTCTTTTTTTATGAATTATTTTTAATGCTATATATATACACACACATATATATACATATAGCTACACATATATATAGCTACATTATATATATATATACAGCATATTCTCTCCATTTAATTTTTTCCCTCATCCATTCATTGTTGCACATTTTCCTCCCTGCCCACCCCTCTCCCCACACCTCTATTCTTGACAGAAGTAGATCAACTGCCCTAAGAGCCCTTCCAACCCCAACATCTACAGGCCTTTAATTTGATCCTGTGGGACCCTGTTAAGAAAATCTGGAAAATCCACAGTGCTCTCTTGGGGTAGCCAAGAGTTTGTTTACAGATAGCTTCTCACCCAAAGAGATACTGGCCTAGGGCCAGGGGATAGTGGGCCCTTCGCCAATGAGTCACTGTCCATGGACGACCCTGGCCTGAGAGGGGCAGGACCCTGCCATCTGACCCCTGTTTGGGGCTCTTAGGAAACAACCACTTCACACACTGTCCAAGTGACCACTTCCCAATGGGTCCACCTAAAGAGGAATTAAAGGAACTACTACCACAGCTTTTGGGTGAGTCCAGTGCAGACGCTACTGTCCTCAGTGAGGTGACTGGCCCTGTAGGGACTCAGAATCACAACCTACAGAGTCTGGTTGGTCCACTCACCCAACTTACAGATGGGCGTTCTGGAACCTGGGAGGAGCAGGCAGGGAAGAAAATTCCTGAGACCCCTCCAAGGTCATCTGGGCTCTGCCCCTCTGTGTTGGAATCCCTAAAGGTGGGGTGGAAGGGCCTCACAAGTGTGCTCACCTGAACCGTGATGGGCGTGTCTGGCTTCTTGCGGTAGAAGATGCCTTTCACGTTATACTCGGGTGTCGAGGTAGCTTTCTGCACAGTTGAGCGGACTTTGTCTCCCTCACACTTGATGATCACATAAGAGTTGGCCCCTAGAGAGAAAGAGTGGGAGATGGAGTGAGGGTGGGGGCCAGAGATGACCTCTGATGGGTTCGATGTTTGGGAGATGAGGCACCTCCCTGGGCTTGGGTATTTGGGAGAAGAGACCAGAGCCTGGCCTATTTCAGGGCTTCCTAACTTCTAGAGATAGGGAAACCGACAGGACAGAGATCTCTGGTCCTCTCTGGCCTCCAGGCCTTATCTACGCTGCTCCCTTGGCTGACAGCACCCTGCTTCTCTTCCCCAGCTCTCAGGCTAATTATCACCTTAACCTAGAAAAAGGCCAGTGCCTCCAGGAAGCCTTCCCTGATTCTTCCTCCTAGCTGTCTGCTCCTGTATCTGACCCTCCACCAGAGGGAGCTCCCTGACAGCAGGGCAGTGACTGGGCATTGGGGGAGATTTAAGTCAATGTCCAAGAGAGGGCTAGAAGGTGAGTGTCAGTGACTGGAGGCAAGGGCTGGAGAGCAACCTCCTTGGGTTGGAAAGCTAGGGGCTTTCTGGGCCTAAACCAGGGTGTGCTCACCTGTTGAGGAGTCCTTAAGGCCAGCAGCTCCCCGGACATGCACCTGGGTCACCATCTTAGGGTAGCCACACAGGGAGCTCCAGCAGGAGTGAGGGGGTGCATCCAGACACAGCTCCCTGGGAGCATGGGCAAGTGCCCAGGGGATGATGGGAGGTATAAAGGGGGGGGGGGAAGCAGTACTTAGCCAGATGTCTCACGTTCTAGGAACAGCCCTCCTCCCACCATCAGTCCTCAACCACACAAACCCACTGGGCTTTCTGTCCCTCTACCCTATCCAAGCATACACTTATTCTCCTCCAGTAAAAAAAAAGTTACTAAGGGCATATATGAACCAAGTCTTTTGCTAGGGATATTTCTACAAGTATATGCGGCAAGGAATATTTCTAATTATCACAGAAATAAAATGGGAGGTCGCTATCTATAATTGTGCCCATTTTACAGATTGAAGCATCAGGTTTCCCAGAAGAAGGAAAAGGGATTTGCCCAGACAGAGCCATCAATCAGATTCCACTGTCAGGCATGTAAGCAGAGTCCACTTTGTCCTTCAGGGGACATGACATATAGGCTGCATATCCACAAGGGGAGGGTAGAGCAGAACCCAGACCGTCTACACCCCAGCAGTTCACTGGACCTCAGGGCCAGCTACCTATGGGGCAGGGGACAAGAATGATACAACTTCAGTCATGGAGACAGGCTGGGCAGCACAGCCTGACTTGACACCAGCTGTATGAACTTGGAAACTCCCTTGACCTTGACCCACTGTTGTTATATGCCATAAAGTAAGAACTGACTCATAGCTGTCCCTCCAGTAGGTTTTCAGAGATTGTAAATTGCACAGGAAGGAGATTACCCATCTTTCTCCCAGAGTAGCCGGTGGATTTGAACTGCCTATCTTTGGGTTGATGACACAATTCCTTACCCCAAGAGGTGACACATACAACCATCCATCCATAACCTGTGAGGGGTCAGGCCTCTTGCTCAGCAGAGTAGGGAAAATTAAAGAGCTAAAAGCTTCTTTGCAAAGTGCTTTGGACACTAAAAGGCTATTCCTAGGCCTGGCCAAGGTGGACTGGCTAAGGGGCCAGGGAAGGGTGAACACATCGATGCCACCTGGACCAGTCACCACGCACCGGCAATTGGAGGGCACATCAGTGAAGACACGGAGCAGGAACTCGCCGGTGTGGCCTGGATCGAAAGTGGTGGGGATGATGACGTAGTGGCCCTCGGGCTGGTCGGTCCGCAGGAACACGCTGCGCGAGTTGATGTAGATGGAGCTGGCCGCCTTATGCTGCAGGCTGTGCATGCGGTACTGCCGGTTCTCCTCCACCTGCGGGGAGAGAGGGGCGCTGGGCCACACAGAGCCCCGTCCCCGCCACCCACTTCTCTCCCAACACCACTCATGAGACATGCTTGAGATGGACAAAGCGATGAAGATGGACGGTGGATGAGCAGTTACGTAGGGCCGGACAGAGAAGGAGAGGAGGGAAATCGGATGAGGACAACCAAGGGCTACAAGGTTTCTTTCTGAGGTGATAAGACTGTGCTAAAATTCACTGTGGTAATGACTGCACAATTCTGTGAATATCCTTAAAGTCACCGAAGATCACACATTAAATGAGAATGGCACTATCTCAATGAAGTGGTTTTTAAAAAAGATGTTTTATTGTTGTTAGGTGCCATCAAGTCGACCATAACTTGTAGCAACCCTGTGAACCCTGCCCCACCCTGCACCATCCTCACGGCCTCCCCCAGGCTCAAGCCCACTGCGGCGGTCACTGTACGTATGCATTTTCTTGTAGGTTTTCCGCTCTTTCACTGACCCTCTACTTTTCCCAGTGTGATGACTTTTTCTAAGGACTGGTTCCTCCTCACAAAATGTCTAAAGTATCAGACAAAGTTTGTCCACCCTGGTCTCTGAGGAGGACCCTGATCGTACTTCCTTCAAGACAGAACTGTGTTCTTCCGGCCTGTGAAACAGTCAATATTCTTCGCCAGCATCACAATTCAAAGGCATCAATTCTTCAGTCTTCCTCATTGATTATCCACTTTTTACAGGCATACAAAGCAAATGAAACACTAAGGCTTGGATCAGGCACATCTTAGTCTTTAAACCGAGGTCCTGGCTCTTTAGGACTTTCAAGAGCATCACAATAGAACCAAGTGTCGTGATCTCCCAAGGCACAGCATTTAGCCATGAAATAACACTACTTGCTGACTGGACATGCTAGACAAGCCCCAAAACAAGTGGCCCAATATGCTAAAACTAAAAGTTCATGAAAAGTCAAAGTCACAGCAACACATCCCAGCACATCAGGACACGATGACTGCCGTCATAATGATGGAACTGTCATAGTGAAGGAATTGTCAGGGTATAACGGGAGCGGGATTCTCACCACTGGGCCAACTAGCAGACCATGATGGATGGAGGAGAGATTGAGGTTGTTAACAATTTCAGCTTGCTCGGCTCCATAATCAACACTCTTGACGCCAGCAGTCAGAAAATCAAAAGACAAACTGCACTGGGGAAATCTGCTGTCAGGGACCTCTCCAAACTGCTAAAGCATAATGATGTCAGTTTAGAGACTAGGATGCACCTGATGCATACTATGGTGCTCACAATTACTTGCTGTGCATCAGAGAGCTGGACAATGACTAAGGATGAGAGAGGAAGAATCAATGTCTTTGAGTTATGACACTGGAGAAGAGTACTGAGCTGCCAAGAGAGCAAACAGGTCTATCCCACTTTCTCCTTGGAGGCAAGGACTTTGAAGTTCCATCTCATATACTTTGGGAACGTGACCAGGAGGGACCAGTCCTTGGAGAAGGACATTATGCTTAGAAGAGTGGAGGAACAGCACAGGAGGGGGAGACCCCTGATGAGATGAACTGACACAGTAACTGGGGTAATAATGGGGGTAGGTGTGTCAGAATCAGTGAGAATGGTTCAGGGCAGGGTTCAGAGCTGCTGAAAGTAAGTTCGTTATGAGTCGTAAGTATCTGGATGTCACATAACAAGAACATCAATAGCAAAAACATGACACAGAGCCAGTAGTCAGCACATCCACAAGATTTCTTTAAATACCTGGTGGTAGACAGGCATATGGTTGACATCGCATGTGGGTGGCCTTGGACCCCAGACCAGGGGAAGTAAACAGTAGTGAGCATGTCTGGCTTCACCCAGGGGTGCCGAACGTATACCTAGCAAGGTCCCCACTGAGTCTGTTGAGGTTTCGTGAACTCAGAGAGGTCTGGAGCTTGACACAGGAGAAGCCAGGAAGCCTATCAACACCTAGAACCTGCCTGAGGCCACCGTGGCCACCAGCAATACTCCTTTCCTTGCCCATTAAGCAGTGCAGGTCTGCAAGTTTGTATCAGAGAGAAATTGGGCTGAAAGTTCTCAAAGAAGCCATCCTCAGGCATTACTGGGGTTTCAGTGATGTCAAGGACTATGAAGTCCTAGAGCATTCCCCTACCTGCAAACAGCCCAACTCCAGTTGACTGCTTTCCTCCCCCAGAACAGGAGGGCCGCAGCAGGCCTCACCTTGTAGATGTCGAAGCCAATGGCCAGGTTCTCGCCCTTGCCCTCCTGGCGGGTGGACCGCTTGGGCCGCTGCTGGATACAGATGAGCACCTCGTCCTCTGGCTTCCTGACCTCAAAGATGTACTGTGGGCATGACACAGGAAACAGACAAGGCAGGGAGGCCGCAGTGAGAACACACTCTCGGCTTCCAGAGACTCGGGCTCCAGAGTCTGATCTGAGATCAGCCACTTCCTGAGCAAGACCCAGGTCTGGGGCTCTCTCAGCCCCAGTTCCTTCCATAGCTCAACCAATCCCTACCAGCGTGAGAGCTGTGAGGAGTCCACCCATGCTGGTGCTGATCTCTCATGCTCAGTAAGGGCACACCTACAGGCCAGCCCCACCTGGCCAGGGGGTTAAGCAGAAGCCAAAGGTCATGATCAAGGAAGCTGTAGAGGATGGGGGGCGCATCAGGAAGTCTGGCCTGGCCAAGCTCCCCAGGGAGGAGCACTGTTGTGCTGAAAAATGGGGAAAAGGAAAAAAAAGAGTTCAAATCTGTATCTCAGATTCTGAACTGCCATGCAATTTCAGATAAGGTATGCATTTGTTCCTTCAAGTCTCATCTTCCTTAATTTTACCACCTTTGGGTCAAATTTTCGGGTTAGGCGTTTCATAAATATGATAAGGTAGATGGGTCCATTAACCCCCACTACAGATGGCCCAAAGAGGGACAGGGACATGCCACGGTCATGCAGGAGGCCACGACAGGCGAGCAGCGGGGGATCCCACAAACACCTACCTGTGGGTTCTGGAAGAAAGTGTCCTTGTGGTTGATACAGCCCCCGCTGCGGTTCAGCTGTGGGTCCTCATTCCGCGTCCAGGCACCTCGCAGCCGGGCCTCCTCCCACGTCTTGTGGATGCTGAGGTAGGATGTGTTGATGAGGCGGCACTTGATGATGTCGGTGAAGTACCGGCACACGTCCTCGAAGGTCATCCTGGCCGTGGGAAGGAGCTGAGCAGCGCGGGTCCCCCAGCCCACCCGTCACGGCCTCTGCCTGCCCTGAGCCAGGCCTCCCACAGACATGGCTTCCTGAGGATCCTCAACTTCCCTCTGGCTTCCTCGCACAGTAGCTACCTCCTCTCAGAGTCAAGTGTAGGAACCAAGTTAGTGCAGTAGAAACATGAGTGCAACCTCCGACAGAGTGCTTAGCAAAAGCTGGCTGTTTTAATAACTGAGAGCTCTCATAACTAATGGTACTAAGTCCACTGCCTTCCACAGCGGTTGGGAGCTGCAAGAAGTGGATGGAGGAAAGCTCCTTGGCTGTTCTGCGGTGAGCCCGGGTACCATGGTCACATCTGGGTGGGTACACACCTCTAGGAGACTGGATGGAGGAAGGGGAAGTTGATCAAATGCAAACAGATATGAGAAAGGCTTCAGGAAGAAGCCCTGTCCACAGACAAGAGATTTTTGTCTTTGAAATGTTGTTTTCACTATTTGGAAAGAAAGTGGCACAATCAAAGGAACCGCTGATGTGTGAGAGGAAGGGAGGATTTGGGAGTTTTGAGTATATTCAGAACTAAGTAAAAAAAAATATAATAAAAATGTTGTTTTGTTGTTGAGGATGTACACAAGAAGATAAGGGCTTTCTTTGTCATTTTAATTCAAAGGGTCCTTGAAACACACCAGATGGATGAAGTGATGTTGCAGAAAGAACCTGGGTGATGGCCGGTAATGGCTCCCCTGAGGCCTCTAGGAGGGGTCCTCACTGGGGGGGCCAGGATCCATGTCACTTGCCCCTGCTTCTGCCTTGGGTCGTGGGAAGCTGCCTGAACCTCATAGCTTCCACTAAACGCATGGTACCCCCGCCTGCCTAAATCATCGAGTCTGCTGTTAAAGACTAACGCTGGACTTCAATGTAAGCTGAATGAACTCAATGCAAGCTGAAGGAATGCAGGAATGAAGAAATGCAGTAGTGAATGCAGGGATGACTATCTGTTCCTTCAAGCTAAGCAGCTGCCAAGTTCCATGCCTACTCTCCATCCATGCTTCTCTGAGTGTTCGCCCTCCCAAGCCCGCGTGTGCTCCCTCAGCCCCGGGCTAGGTCCCTCACTCTCTCTCCTTGGCCACCCAAGGGCTACTCTGTATGTGCCGTCTCAGTGCAGATCTCTCCTCCATGACCCCTCCTCCTCTCTCCTACCTCCACCACCTGGGCATCAGCTTGCCCAGTGGGCCCAGCCCTCTCCCCAACCCCCCCACACTGGTATCTTGACCTACTAGTCAAAGGTTCAGCCTGGGGCCAGAGCAAAGACAGAGAAGACTGGGGATGAAAGATTCTATGACTGCACAACTCATTTTAGAGATGGGGAAACTGAGGTTAGAACACACGGTTTGACTCGTCCAAGTCCACATGACAAGTTGGTGATGGGGCTTTTGCTGGGACTCTGGCTCCCAGCGCCTCATGTGGGGCCCCGTGCCATCCGGGCTATCGTAAATGCAGGACGTCCCTACCAGGCTCCCAGGAGGCTCCTCCCTCAGCCCTGGACTCACCAGAACTCGCCGTCATCCTGCACGGTGACACCCATTTTCTCTCGCTCACTCTTGCTCACCTTCTGCCACTCTTCTGAGCTGAAATGCAAAGGGCAAGGTAGAGGAGAGAGAGAAGGGAGGTGAGGAATTCCACTAGGAGCCTCAGGCGAGTTGGGGAGGTACTAGGGACGCTCAGCTCAGGCCTCCATCTGCATGGGTGTGGTCAGGGGCACAGGGTATGCCCAGCCCCTCTCAGAGAAGCACAGGTCTGGCACCATGTAGGTGAGCAGTGAAAGGGGCAAGACCACCAGTGGAAAGGGTCCGGGCCCCATTCCATCCGTCCTCACCGAGGCCAAGAGTCAAGCATAGAATATCACCCCTATTCATGAACATTAATGGTCTGCCTCCCTCCCCCATCACTCTCTGGCCAGAGCTCTGTACCCCTTACTGGTCAGGTTCATCCCCACTTTGAGGTTCCCAGCCATGCTGAATCCATCACCCTCATCCACACACTCCAAAGTAAGTCTCCCTACTCTCCTCCCGCTAAATCCTTCAGGCCCAACGTGGTACCCCTTCCTCCAGGAAGTCTGCCCATCTGCTCATCAAGCCCTCACAGCCCCGCAGCCTGCCCTGTGCCTGCACCACCACCTGCCCAGGCCTCACGTGTCGCTCCAGGGCCCGTTCCACTCCCGTTCGCCCCAAGGGTTGCGCAGGCGGATCATGTCCAGCTTCTCTGACTTGAAGAAGGCCAACAGGCCGTGGCCCAGGCGCACCTTGCGCACATCAGTGACGGCATAGGCATGGCCCTTCACCAGGCCACACGCCAGACGGGCCTCCATGTCGGCTGCGGTCACTGCCTGTCAGAGGACACAGGTACTCAGATGGGAGGATTGGACAGGAGCCCAGGAAGGGAACCTCAGCTCCCACAGACAGGTGAGACCCCTCTGAGAAGGGACTGCCCAGTGTTCAGCCCTTTATCAGGGTAAAGAACAGAGGTCTGGACTTATGGGCCAGCCCATGATGACACAGCCACCTCCTACCCTAATCCAGGGCTGGCGCTGAGGCCTGCTTGGAGTGCTCACCTTGATGGAGGCGCTGATGAGGCCTCCCCGGCTATGCACCTTCAACACGCGCTCAAAGAGCTGGTTCCTCTTGGCCTCATCATTGGCTAAGTCACCCTCGGTCAGATCGATGGGCTCAGACACGCCACCCGTGAAGTCTACCAGCGCGTCCGCTGTGTTACCTCCGTCCAGAGCCTGATAGCAGCCTGCTAGCCTGGGGGTGATGTGGAAAGAATTTCTAGCTCATGTTTCCCAGCCAGTCCTTACTTTATAGAGGATACTTCTGACTCAGAGAGGTCAAGCAGCCTGCTCAAGCTCACACAGCACAGCTAATACTAGAACCCAGGTCTCTGACCCCTAGGGCCCTCTGCACTGCACCATGTTATCTCTCAAATCCTCCTCAGCCTTAGTGGACACGTCTTCAAAACTTAGCCCCTCAACAACACAGCAATTCTTTGCAAAAGTATGAGAAAGTTTTATGTCTTTTGACCCTTCAATCCTGAATCATCTACAACAATGTAACATTGGAAATAACCTAGATACTTAACAAGGAATTGGTTGTTTTTGTTTTGTTTTGTTTTTTTTACAGAGGTTTTGGATTTCCATTCATTCATTGACGCAATTTTCTCCCTTCCCACCCCTCCCCACCAGCTCGCTTCCCCCTCCGAAGAGAGAAGGAAAAAAAAATACAAGGAATTATTTTTTAAAAAAAGTTAAGGCTGCATCTATACTCTGTGGATCAGACAGCATAGGAAAAGCCCTGGAGAAGGATTCCTGTGGCAGGGAAAAGGCTAGTGCCTGACTGTTTTATGTTAATAAAAGCAACATAGGAAGATCTCAATTATGTTAGACATACATGTTAAATATGAACCAGGCACAACATGGCTTAGAAGCTCAGAGGAACAGCGAAAAAGAGGAAAAGCATCACAGGATGACCTGAGCCCAGTGATGGCAGCAATGAAGAGCCTGTGAGAAGGTGCAGAGTGGGGCAACATGCACAGGGTCACCATCCGACAGGGCGGCACTGAACAACAGGTGCAGCGTAAGGGAGCCCTGGTGGTGAAGGGCTGCTTATCAAAAGGTCACTGGTTCCATTACCAGTCACTTCCCAGAAGATGGGCGTCTCCTCCCCTAACGATTTGGAGCCTCAGAAACCCAACTGAGGGTCTCCATGAGCTGGAACTGACTCAGCAGCAGTGGGCTTGGGTTTGGCTTTTTTGGTTTCTTTCTTTGTTTAGACACAAGAAAAGGAGCCTTAATGGCAAACAGCAAAACAGGCTATTAATGGAAAGGAGAGTATTCAAACCCACTCAGTGACTCCTGAAAGGGCTAATCTACCCCCATAAAGATTAAGCCACTGTGGTCAACAGGAGTCTGATCCACAATGACTCTCCACTGGGTTTCCAAAGCTGTAAATCTACTGGAAGAGACTGCTCGCCTTCCTCCATAGAGGATCTGAACCAATGACCTTTCAGTTAACAGCCCAACTTGCTACCACTATGCCGCCAAGTATTCAGCCTAGGAGACTCTCTGGGGAAGTTCTACTCTGCCATGTGAAGTTACTGTGAGTTGGAATCGACTCAGATGGCATTCAATAGCAACATGCACAATATATTAGGGGCAGAGGACACCACCTGTCGCCTTAATTAAATGAGCAGGAAAAAGGGCGGGGTCTTCAAGGCATATGTAATGTAAATCGATAGTAATTAATTAATGTATATTAATATGTAATAGAAATGTAAATGTGAGAAGCAGATGGACTACAGAGCCCACTCTATGTATGTAAATTACAGCTGTGATGCAACACAAAACAATAGCATAGGCTCTGCAAGGTCAACTACAAAGAGATGCATCAAAGCTGCTAATAGGACCTCCTCCTCCATTACTGCCTGTTCCTTTGGGACTTATCTTTTCTAATGAATCTCTCTTTGCTTTTTATCTTAAAAAAAAAAGCTGTTAGCAGGATTGTGAGTGATGGAGAGTAGGTAGTGAAGGGACACAGAACAAAAAAGGAAGAAATCGAGACAAGGCATGGAGTGGGGCCATGGTGGACAACGGTCATGCTGGTAATGAACCGAGGACTCTGATGGGCTCAGAGGGATCAAAACAGGGAAGAGGGTAAGGAAGGGAATGAAAAAATATACAGAAGAAAGATACTATTTCTTCACATTTTCTGAATTTTCAACAATGGATTATATCTGTTCTATTATTTTAAAAGTAAAATAAATGCAAAAACACACATACACCCCCCAAGTCCATTTGATTCAGCTCTCCTGTCACTATGGACGAGGACCTGCATTGAAAACAGTGAAAATCCTGTGGCCACCAGGAGTCAGGCTTTACTTTCCTAAAATTAAGCCAGCTAGTGCTATGTTTTCTTGGTTTGTTTTTGATACTGAGGGGTTCTGTTATTCCTTTTCCTTTCAAACATACATTTTCCAAGAAAACAGAAAAAGAGCCCTAGGAGGAGGAAAAGGGTGTAGTTCCCACAAAGTCAACTAATCTGGTCTTCACCCCCACGGGCCTTCCTGTCCCAGGCCTTCCTCAGCCCTGCACGGTCCTGGGCAGGCTTCTCGGCCTGGACCTGTCCACAGCTCAGGAAACCTTTGCCTGCCCATTCTGTGCCAGGACCTGTGTTGGGCACAGAGCAGGACAGAGGTCAGTAAAGGCAGATGGACTTGGACAACCAGCCTGATGAGTGGTAGATGAGGGAGGGTCTAGGGAGCAGAAGGGCAGTCATTGGCCCACCCTCCACAACCCAGGCCCAAGCTTAGTCACCTCCATGGAGCGTCTGCAGTTTGGATCTTTGGGGGAAATGTACAGACTTGATGTGAACACTAGCCTGGCCCCTTGGCTACCTGTGAAACATCCACCTGCCTGAGCCTCAATCTTCTCATCTGTAAATGGACATCAAGAGGCCTCCCTGCATAGGCTGGTTGTGGGGAACTGACATGTATTCAGAAAATCATCAGGTAGTCCTGTGGTCCACACGGCAGAGGCCACCTGCCCAAACCCTCAGGGTCTGGACTCTGAGCCCACTTTGTACCTTTGCTCCAGAGCCCTCTGGGCCTGGAAAGCCTTGGTACAGGGAGCACATTCTCACCCCAGCTGCCCACCTATGTATCCCTGGCACTACCAACCACTGGTACCTACTTGGCATAGGCCTTCTCCACCAGGGCACACCAGAACTCATTGCGTGAATTGGAGTGGCAATAGATGAGCTGGTTGTTGACCGTGGGCAGCCGGTCATCGATGACCACATCCACCCACTCTCCGAAGCGCCAGAAATGGAAGTGGAAGATGCCCGCGTAGGCGTCCGGCTTCTCGGGGTCCCACTCTTGGTCTTTCCAATCTGGGATAACCTGGACAGGGAAGAGGGCAAGAAGGAGACATGCTGAAGGGTTGAGGGGCACAGCTGGCTTCCTGAAGAAATGGAGTGCACACTTCCTAGGAATCTCAGCAGAGGGGAGCACTGTTCAACTCCCATCTCTGCCATGAACCAACATGGAGCCTGGAACAGACCTTTCTCACCCGCGAGCTTTAGTCTCTCAGCTCTGCAGCGATTGGAGGCCTCCTGGGCGCCTTCCAACCTTATCACCCACGTAATTCTAGGAGGTTCCCCTCCCTTCCTCACACCTCTGCACCATCTCCCTCAGAACAAGATCCACAACCAGCACTAGTCCCCAAACAGTGGGTAGAGCCACCATCCACCCCGTCTGGCCCACGCTGAAGCTGGCAGCCATGCCTGCCTCCTCCATTCCCCTTCTCCAGCTACGCAGGCCCAGCCTAACTCCCACAATCTTCCAAGGTGGCTCTTCTTCCCCTTCCAGTGGCATCACCCTGGCCCAACCCCCACCACCTTGCCCTGAACACTCCTAATAGCCCCCAGCTGCCACACGTGCCCTTCTCCCTGTCCCTTACGGCAGCAGGGTGATCTTTCAGACAACAATATGATCCTCTTCCCGCTCGAGAAAACAAAATGCCCTGGTCCCACTGTGTACCTGCTCTACCTCCTCCCCACAGCCCCCACCCCTGCTCCCTGCTCCAGGCTCTTTCCCTGGGCAGGACTCCACACCTGAAGTCTCCTGCTCATCACCTAAGCAAACTCCTACTCATCCTTTAGGGTTCCTCTTCTTCCTCCAGGAAATATTTCCTGGTTCTTCAAACTAGACCAGACTCCTGTCCATCAGTCTCATGGCACCTGGGCTAAGACGACCGCGCCCCCAAATATAACTACCGTGTGATGTAGTGTTCTGTGTCTGCCACCATTACTGGAACGGCAGCTGAGGGCGGGGACCCATCAGTCCTGGTCACCATGACCCACTCCTTTGAGGACCAAACCACCCCCACATACAAGTGTGGGCACCCAGGGATCCCGGCTGAGATCCAGAGATGAATGAGGTGGCATAAACCCAGGGCCCCACGTGGCCTGAGCATACAGACTTCAGCCAAAGGCGACTCCCCACACCCACGCTCATTAAGAACGCTTTGTTTACTATCAGTGGGGATGCTGGCAAAAGGAAGTGCTCCCTGGTGGGACATTTGAGACCAAGAAAATGAAAATGCCGACCACAGTGAAAAGCACTAATGGAGCTCTGCTGAGTGCCTGGAAGGCCAGCTGCTTGCTCCATTCTCCCAACCTCACAGCCTCAGAGGCCATGCTGAGGAAAGACTGCTGGCAGGCACAGGTGGGGAGGCAGGACTCAAACCCAGCACCCAGGCAGGCAGTATCTGGAACCACACAGCCTTCGTAACTCTTTGTTCCCCTCTTTAGTCAACTCCTGTGGTCTTTCTAACTAAATCCCCTCAGACCTGCCTCTTGTCATTCTGCTTCCACAGCAGAAGGATGGATGAAAAGTCAGTCACATTTTCCTGACCCCAAACTTTCCATCCGGCTGATTCTATTATGAGAAGGGTGGTGTTGTGCAGAGTCAGAACCAACCCATGGCTGAGACGCTGGAGGGTTTTCAGAGGAAGTTAATCGCACAGGAGGAGACTGCCAATCCTTCTCGCTTGGAGCAGCTGATGGCCTTGAACTGTGTGCCTTTAGGATTGCAGTGCAGCTTCTTGCCTCTAGGCCACCAGAGCTCCCTTATGAAGAGGGTAGGTGGGGTTACTATCCCTTTGAACAGAGATAAGGCTGTGGTCCAGAAAGCAGCAAGCTGGCCTGGGGAAGACTGTTGTTGTTATGAGCCACTGAGTCACCTGCAACTCATAGAGACCCTAAGAAAAACAGCTCTGAAACTTGTCCTATCCTGAGCCAACCTCAACATCTCTGAAATTCATACCTCACTGCCACAGTCACTGTGTCAATCCATCTCACCCAGGGTCTTCCTGTCCCTCCTGGAAACATGCCCAAAGTATGTGAGATGGAGTTTCCAAATCCTTGCCTCCAAGAAGCATCCTGATTTCACCCTCTCTGGGACAAACCTGTTCGTTCTCTTGGCCGACCATGGTATGTCCAATACCCTTCTCTAGCATCATAACTCAAAGGCATCAATCTTTCTTCTGTCATCCTTAGTCACTGTCCAGCTCTCAGATGCAGAGCAAGCAACTGAGAAGACCATGTCCTACATCAGGCATGCCTTAGCCTCCAACCTGACATCATTGCTTTTTAGCACGCTGGAAAGGTTCCTGACAGCAGTATAGTACGCTCCAGCTTACAAGTAAATAAGGTACACATGGGTATAACCATGCTACTTTACTAATCTGTAGAGAACATTTCACCTGGGTTTCACTAAGTCACTGCTGTGGTGAAATCCAAGTGAGACTGTTCACTACAGATTAGTAAATAGGCATAATTAGTCCCATGCATACCTTGCTTATTGGGTAACCCCTCCCTGAAAAGACTCAGAGCGATGCATGGCGAGTCCTCACTGAGGACACTAGACTGGACCACTGTCTCACTGCTCCCTCTCCCACCTGTTCAGAACGTTCTAGACTACATGGCAAGGAGAGGAAAATGGGAACAGAGGAAGAAGAGGCCTCACAGGGTGCTGGCAGGTACCACTGGGGCTAAGGGAGGGTCATTAGGCAGACTCAGGGCTTGGCTCTGAGCCGTCTGTGGCTCAAGATGCAGTTAATGAGGCCCCAGGGTCTAAAGACTCAGAGTTAGTGGTCCCCTCGGCCTCAATCCCCACCTTTCCCCATATCACAGCCATTGGAGCTTGCATGGGGTGGTTCCAGGCCAGCCCTTCACTCGTATTGTACTTTGGTCATGTTTCCAGGAGGGGCCAGTCCTTTAAAGAAAAATATCATGCTTGGAAAGGTGGAGGATCATTGAAAGAGGAAAGATCCTCAATGAAACAGATTGACACAGGGCTTCAGCAGTCACTTGAGCATGGTGCAGATGGAGACGTCAGCACAGAACAGGGCAAGAACAGGGTTGCTATGAAAGGTAGTCAGCTCAATGATAACTAATGACAACATACTAGACAACAAAAAGGAGACTGTCCAATCAGGTGAGCTCACAAATGTGCACACACTTAACATTCTTCTCCATCACAACCAGTCATGCCAGAAGTCAAAGAAGTGACTTAAGAGGATTCAGGAAGCGCGCTGGTGAAGTTCCGCCAGCTAAAGGATGGGCCAACTTATCTCAATGAAGATAATGCCTGCCATGCACAAAACCACATTAAAGGTGCTCAGACCCATGAGATCATAATGGTACTTATAACAACAAATAATCATTACAAATAGTTACTGCTGGATGATGGTAGGGGGTCCATTTATTTTGCAAGTGGAAAGTTGAAGGAATCAAGCATTCATCTTGCCTTTTCTGTGTAAACTACAGTAGATCTGGGCTACTATCTAAGGGCTGCTCTATGGGAAAAGATGAGAAGTACACTCCCATGAAGTCTCTCTCAGGGAGGAGTGATAGGGAATGGCAAAGGACACACTGACAAAGAAGATTAATCAGAACTGGCTTTGACAAGCACTGTGGCATTTGGAC